CACGTCCGATCCCTCAACGTTCAGGTCATACCGCCACTGCTGCTGCCACTATCACTCTTGATAGACGCTCTCCGTACCTCTTCATCTCGAAACCACATTCTCATCTCTCATTATGGCCTCCCGACAACCTCCCGCTGGCGCCCGCGGCACTAACACCCGGTTCGCGCAGTTTAAGCTGGTTCTTCTAGGTATGTTACGTTGTGTCGGCATCCTTTGCCAGCCTGTTTCGGTTTCATGGCATGTTTGCTAACCTGTGACATAGGCGAGTCCGCTGTCGGAAAGGTATATCATAACAACGGTCTCTGATGTAATAGTTTACTAATTTTCACCTCAGAGTTCAATAGTCTTGCGATTTGTCAAGGTATGAACTGCTGGCGCCCACGTCATTGTATTGTGACAGTAACTCACCAAGATATTCTAGGACCAATTCGATTCCTATCGCGAGTCCACCATCGGCGCTGCCTTCTTGACCCAGACCATTTCTCTTGATGAGAACACTACCGTCAAGTTCGAAATTTGGGATACCGCCGGCCAGGAACGCTACAAGTCTCTTGCTCCCATGTACTACCGAAATGCAAACTGCGCCGTTGTCGTCTACGATATCACTCAATCTGTACGTTCACCAGATTTGCAACCATCATAGGGCCATATTAATTTTTTGCCAGGCATCACTAGATAAGGCAAAGGCTTGGGTTAAGGAGCTCCAACGCCAGGCGAATGAGAACATTGTCATTGCTCTTGCAGGAAACAAGTTAGATTTGGTTACTGAGCAACCCGACAAACGAGCCATTCCCACCGCCGATGCTGAGGCTTATGCCCGTGAGGCTGGCCTCCTCTTCTTCGAAACTTCAGCCAAGACTGCCGAGAACGTCCAGACTCTTTTCACAGCTATAGCTAAGAAGCTGCCCCTGGACCAGGCTGGTCCACGACATGCTCGACCGGGCCAACGACCAGGTGTCAGTCTGGCTCCTGAGAACTCCAACACCAACGTCAGCGGCCCTTGCAGCTGTTAAAGAGGTGTTCAGGTTGAAGCATGAGGTTTAGAGTCCACTTTTCGTTACGTCCACGCACATATCACAGAGGCCTCAGCGTGAATTCAGCAACACGGGTTGTCCGAGATTACGGACTCTGAGGCAACGCATGAGCTGGGGCGCGTCATATAATTTATCGGAGTCCTTGGGTTTGGAGGGATCAGTTCAGTCCATACTTTTTTAATACCGAACTTGAATTTTGTTGCTTGGTAGTATGGGAGGCCTGGGTGCTCGACTGTGCCGTAGCCTGGCACTTTAGCATGCCAGAGAATACGGAGTGGCTAAGGGAGGTAATGAAAACTAAAGACCTCGATCCTAGGTGACAAGAGGACTCGGATAAGGTTAGCCTAAGCTTACGAGGTCTTTTGATGCTTGGTTACTTCTAGTTTTGGTATCCTGATTCCAGGTCCGAAGTTTTCTTATTCCCTGGAGAAGTGGCTCATGAGATGGACAAGCAGGAGAGTATGGACGAGCCGCTATGTAGTTTCTTTTTCTTCACAGCTTCTGAATAGATGGCTGCTATTAGATGATTTATGGGACCATGTTAAAATCATTTATTGCATGTGATCAGACGACAGATATTTGCAGACTGTTGATGTGAGTCCGGATTAGGCCAGAATAAGTACTTAAGACCTCGATCCTAAATGATTGACAACAATGCTTAGCTCAGTTTAGTAAACCTCCAGTAGTCGCTTTTAAACTACCTACCTAGGCAGGTATGTATTTCTGGCCTCCTGATTCGATCTTTTTGCTCCCCGAGGGAGTTAGGTTGTTATCAAGTCCGTGAGGCTCAGTCATGTCCAGAAGACAGTTTCAGATAATAACTTATCAATTGAGCGACTGTGTATTATGTGACGGGACTGCATGCTCCAATGCAATCATAAAAATATACATTAAGATCGTTAGAATTCTCTAAGATGGGGTTTCACCAGAACATGGCTTCATGTTTCGATCTCCTGATTACATGTAATCAACCATAAGGTACTACCCAGGCTCGTCAATCAAGAAACTGGAAGAGAAAAGCGGTTGATCAGCTAGAATGATCTTACGATATATACTTGCTCCTTTCCCAGCTAGGGTACCTTAGGTAGCAATATCGCATTACATGGAAATCAATGTTTTTGTTTCATCATATTCAGTGGTTAATGAGGCAGTTGCGTCACCCGGTTCCTGCCGCTGTGCTAACATTTAGCTCCATACAAAACCGGGAGCTGGCTTTTGCCGAACTTTTACCCTGAGCGTTTTTGAAGCAGCTCTCAACTCCATCTAACCGAAAATCCACTGCATCGCGAACTGCGCCCTGTTCGCCATTGCAATCCCTCATGTTGCGAACTTCGCTTCAGTCTGTGAGGGCGTTCGGCGGCAGGCCCGTTGTGGCCGCTGCTGCCCGCCAATGGCCCATTGCGGCTACACGGCGTGCCGGCCTCGCTGGTCAAGTAAGCTTTCTTTACAATGTCACAGCTCGTGTTAGTTGCTATCAACAGAAATAAACTAACCGCGTCGATAATTCCAGCGTTTCTATTCCGTCGAAAAGAAGTCGGAGCTCGACCCTGCTAAGCAACCTGTGTTGCCAGCTTCCCAAACCGTTACGTCCGAGAGAATCCATGAGACCACCATTGACGATGTCGGCGAGACCAAGGCCGCTACCACAGACGTCCCTTTGACACCTCCTCCCCCTCCTCCTGCGCCTGCGCCTATCAAGAAGAAGGGCTTCTTCCGAAGACTGAAGAACTTTGTCTTCACCCTGCTTGTTCTTGGTGTTGTTGGTTTCGCTGGAGGTGTCTGGTACTCTCGTGTGAGCGACAACTTCCATGATTTCTTTACCGAATACGTCCCCTTTGGCGAGCAGGCTGTTCTTTATCTCGAGGAGATGGACTACAAGAAGCGATTCCCTAACATCACCGGCCGATCAAAGACTCAAGCCACCGAGGATGCTGTTCGAGTTCCTGCCCAGAGCGGCGCTTCCTGGAGAGTTGCCGATGCAGGCCAGGCCGGACGTCACTCAAGTGCTGGCCCCGTTTCTGCCGCTGCTAAGAAGGTCGAGGAGGCTCTTAAGCCGAAGCCCAAGGCTAAGGCTCCAGTCGAGGCCAAGCCTGTTACGAAGGCGGCTGAGGAGCCTGCTCCTACCCCCAACTCTGACTCCGGTTTCAAAGCACCAGAAGTCAATGAGCCTTCCAAGTTCCCTCCTCTGAAGCCAATTGACCTTCTATCGCTCGAGGATGCAAAGGAGCCTGTTATTCAAGACCTCGTCCACATGGTGAACGACCTCATCCTAGTCATCAACGCCGACAATGCTCATGGCAAGTATGGCACCTCTGTTAGCAAGGCTAAGGATGAGATCGCCAAGGTTGGAGGCAAGCTTAAGGCCATGAAGGGTGAATTCGAGAAGAAGGCTGCCCAGCAAGTTAGAGAAAAGATTGAGGAGTTCGACAAGGCTGCTACAGATCTAATCGATCGTGTTGAGAACACCATGATCAACCAGGAGAATCAATGGCGACAAGACTTTGAGCAGGAGATGAAGAAGGTTCGAGAAAACTATGAGGACCGAGTTAATGTTCTTCTTGAGCGTGAGAAGAAACTCAACGAGGAGAAACTGCAGAACCAGCTCGCGCAGCAAGCTCTGGCCCTTAAGAAGGAGTTTACTAAGGATGTTGAAAAGCAAGTTGAGCAGGAGCGTGAGAGCCGACTAGGCAAGCTGAACGCTCTGTCATCTGCCGTATCGGAGCTTGAGAAGCTTACTACAGGCTGGAACGATGTTATTGACACCAACCTCAAGACTCAGCAGCTCCATGTCGCCGTCGAGGCTGTCCGAGCCAGCCTGGAGGATGACCACCATCCTCGCCCTTTTATTCGCGAGCTCGTTGCTCTCCGTGAAATCGCTTCCGATGATCCCGTTGTCAACGCCGCCATCGCCTCTGTTAACCCTTCCGCTTACCAACGCGGTATTTCTACTACTTCGCAGCTGATCGATCGTTTCCGTCGTGTCGCCAATGAGGTAAGAAAGGCTTCATTGTTACCCGACGAGGCTGGTGTTGCCAGCCACGCTTCCAGCTGGGTTCTTAGCCACGTTATGTTCAAGAAGCAAGGCCTTGCAGATGGTAACGATGTTGAGAGCATCCTCACCCGAACCCAGACATACCTGGAAGAGGGTGATCTGGATTCTGCGGCGCGAGAGATTAACGGTTTGGATGGATGGGCCAAGACCTTGAGTAAGGATTGGCTCGGTGAGGTTCGCAAGGTGTTGGAGGTTCAGCAAGCTCTTGACGTGAGTTTTATCGTTTTCCATATGTTTATCCTTTCTTTGCTAACTCGATTTATAGGTGATTGCCACAGAAGCCCGTCTTCAGAGTCTCCGTGTGGATTAAACAAAAAAGGGATGTCTCATTTGTTGTGTATAATTGGACCCAGGCGCCGTCGTGTCTAGAGAGAGGCTGGATAGCCGTGTATTAGATAGCAATAGACGATGAGGGCATGGTTACCATCTTTTGACTATTTATTATTGCCAACATTATTGTCTAGTTGTATGATTCCTCATCATTTATTGATTAATGCAACACCTGAGCTGAACAACTTGCTTGTTAGTATATCCAATAGAAAAGTCGAATTCGCAGGAATCGAATTCGACATTGTTGAATGCAATGAATACGTAATCGTTGACTTGTCACAATAAGATCAAACTGTTTTTTATTTTTATTTTATTTTATTTTATTTTTTTATGTATATAAATTGTTGGTCAATATAACTGGAATATGTTACCTGGAACAAAAAGCTGGCGTAGATGTACTACATACACATCACGACCTGTTAACCTATTCCGACCCCATTTCTTCATCCTCACATTAAACTTTGACATTGAAACTCCCAAGACCTGTTTCAGTGCACTCATATATCAGCCAGATCTGACAGTGCTCGTTTAAAGTTCTGGATGAACTACTCCATTACCTGGCAAGAAATCAAATAGCGCACACAATGGCGGCACGTAGGGGCATTAGCACCGTGTCCCGCGATTACAATGAAGCTCTCCGTCAACTTTCTACACTTTACTCAAATCGCCAAGTCACGAACCTTTTTGACAAATCAATCGCCCCAAATGCCTCATCTGTACCACCAAAGGATCTCAATTCTTTAGCTATTCCTGAGATGCGCGAATGGCTCCGACGTGCTGGATATGAACCAAAAGATCTTGCACGTCTGAGACACATTCACATAGCGGGCACAAAAGGCAAAGGCTCGGTAAGCGCATTTGCGACAGGTATGCTGCGGCAGTATGAGACTGTTGGGACTTATACGAGCCCACATCTCGTGAGTCCGCGCGAGCGCATTGCCATTCAAGGAGAGCAGGTCTCACAGAAGCTCTTTGCTGAGGCTTTCTTTGAGCTCTGGGAAAGGTTGTCTGAAGCTGCCAAGAAGGATGGCAAAAGCCTCACCGAATCTCAAGGGCCTGGCTCAAAGCCATTTTTCTTTCGTTTTATGACACTCCTTGCTTGGCATATTTTCCTGAGAGAAAACGTCGATAGTGTTGTTCTTGAATGCGGTATCGGTGGAGAGTATGACGCTACAAATGTGGTGCCTCCTGAGGCTGTTTCTGCCGCGGTCATCACGCAGCTGGGTATAGATCATGTCGCAATGCTGGGCGACACGGTTGAGAAGATCTCATGGCACAAAGCCGGCATTCTTAAGCCAGGTGTGCGTGGTTTCGTTCGACGAATGGACGAGAAGCCTGGCGTGAGGCAAGTACTTCAACAGCGAGCAGCAGAAAAGGGTGCTGAGCTCATCGAGTTGGATGACGCCAGTGTCGAACAATGGGGAGGTGTGGCTGGGAGATTACCAGGTGATTTTCAAAAGTATAACCAAGCTCTTGCTGTGCTTGCAGTGCGACAACATCTAGGTATGGACATTGACCCCAAGACTGCTCTGCTCGACCTTCCAGATAGGATGGTTACGGGGCTCAAGGAGGCAAGTCTCAGAGGGCGCTGCGAGATCATTCAGCAGGGCGATATTGGCTGGTATCTGGATGGTGCGCATACCAAGGATAGTATGCTCGAGGTTGCAAAATGGTTCGCTTCGAATATTGGAAACGATGAATCTGCAGTTCTGGTTTTCAACCAGCAGGAGAGAGATGCAACACAACTGCTGGCAATATTGCTTGATACTATTCAAGAAGTTACAGGGCGAGAGAACATATTCAGCCATGCGCTCTTTACGAGGAATGATCAGGAGGGGCCCTCGACGGATGAAGAAGCCAGAGATCTGAGCGTGCAGACACGTGTTGCAGAGACGATGGCCGAGAGAGCGGCTAATTGCGAGGTCAAGACATTTGATAATATCCAGGACACTGTAACTGAGGCCAGAAAAGTTGCAGGATCTCATCAGAAGGTTTTGGCAACAGGGAGCATGTATCTTGCAGGGGGTGTTTTGCGAGCTTTGGAGCCCGAAGGTCTATCATAAATACTTCCTAATGTGCCCACCAAATCAACTCGTTCTATTTTCATCAAATCATAGAGCATCGGCCTTTTCCAGTATTCCTAACGCACCACCTACAAGATGCAAGCTTCCAGTGATAAAAGCCTGCACCGTCTCTCCCTCTGGGAGATCCTCTCCAAGATGTCGGACGTAGTCAATGGATTGTTCGATTGTGGGCAGGACTTTCACCGTAGCTGTGGGATCAAGGGACATCCACTTATCCGCAAAGCGTTGCTGGACAGTCATCTTATCAATCTCAGCAGGGTCGAATTGACGGTTGACAAAGTCGCGCTTGTAGCCAGATGCTGCATACGTGACGTTTGTGCAGAAGATGACATGGTCAAACGCTGGTTGCACTTCTCGTCTGGTCGCTTTGAAGACGGACTCGAGAAAGTCAACGGCTTCGGAGCGGCCTTGTTGATTGAAGATCATGGCACGCGGTCCATTGCTGAATGTATTAGTTGACAGATAGGATGTTGCGACATAACAACTTACCGTCCAGAAGTTTCGTCCTTGAACCACTTGGACGACATCTTGAGACTATCAGATGTATGGGCGCCATCGACGTGCCATGTCACCTTATCTTCCTTCTTGACCTCACATCGACCTCTCCACACAACCTTTTCAAGCCCGTCAACAAACTCCTTGGGTAAAGAGTCCGTACGAGGTGGTAGTGAAACTCCAACCTTCTCCAGTGCTGTTTCGGCGAGTGCGATAGCCAGTGTAGCATTGCGCTTCTGAAAAGTTGCATCTGGTCGAATTTGGACGCTGCTCAGCCGAGGGTCGACTGGTAGGACTTTCAGATCGACGTTCTTTTCCGTGGCTCTTTTCCTAAGAACTTCTTCGGCGTCTGGGACCTGTTCGATTGTGAAAGCCGCACTTCCAGTCTTCATGATACCCGCCTTGTGCCATGCAATCTTAGCCACCGTATCACCGAGAGCAAAGACATGATCGATGCCCAGTGTACTAATACCAGATGCTATAGGCTTCTCTACAACATTTGTAGCATCGAATTCACCTCCAATACCAGTCTCATATATAGCAACATCTATGCCCTCTTGAAGGAAGACATGCCAACTCATTAAAGTCAGATATCGCGCATAAATAGGTCGAGGAGCCATGAGTTTGTTTGCATCATCTTTTGGTGCCGATTCAAGACGGTCCCACACTTCGAAGAAATACTTTGCAAATAGGTCTTCTGAAATCGGCATTGAGTTGATGCGTATGCGCTCACGAACAGCGATGAGATGAGGCGATGTGAAAAAGCCTGTCTTGCGGGGTGTGCCCCTTGTGTGCTGATACTGAGAGAGGATAGAGTCGACAAAGGCGCAGGTACTACCTTTGCCTTTTGTACCTGCTACATGAACAATATTCAGGCGGTTGAGGTCAGAAGGCTGTCAGATGATCAGTCTTTTGTACATGTCTCACGGCTAAGAGCCTTACAGTATATCCAATGCGATGAAGGTATGTCTGCATTTCCTTGATAGACACGGCATCAGGCCTTATACCCGCCTTCCGACGAGCCTCGACGACATCAAAGGGTGTCTGAAGTGAGTTGAGCGCATCAATGGCATCCTGAAATGAGTCAGCTGGTCGTTCTTCTTGTCTTACTCTTGAAGCAGTATGAGAGGTTACGTACATTATAGGACCGCCCTTTTGAGGCCATGGTGGATACCGCGACTCGTTGTATTGCTATGAAACTGAAAGGTTGCCTAAAAGCCCGCCAAAACACATGACGCATTGAAATTGGCAACGTCTTGAGATGTTTAAGTGAAGCTATCTTGTCTTGTCTTTAGTGGTGGTAACTCGCAGAAAGCTCGGGTAATCCGCTCGTGATCAACGCCGTGCTACAGACGAGATGTTCGAGTTCAGTGGCCGCAACATAAGTAATTAGTGTTGAAAGAGTCGGTTCAAGTCAGGGATATTCGAGATAAACTTGTTCGACTTTGTTAGATAGAGATCTGGGCTCGTTGAAGCGATGTCGCTGCACACTTGGTTCGGGCGGTATTCCGCTAAGAACTTAGTGACGGGGCGGGCTTCGGGAGGCGAATGCCGCTGATAGGATTAATAACCATGGCTAAGGTTATAATAAAAATTCATAAGGAAACAGAGGAATAAATATTTGCTATTATTCTGACTGTTGAAGTTTCGCCATGCAGCTGTAAATCACTTGGAACATCACCAACAAATGCCTGACAACCCCAACTCCCCCCAAGACTAACACGCATCATGCCCTTCGGCAAACCTCCGAAGATCGGAGCCATCAACCGATATTATAATCCTCAATAACACCTTCTCTCTTCAACACCCACTTGTTCATGCCTTCTTGCAGTGCTTCAGTGAAATCCTCATCAAATCTCTTGCCACTGTCAACCCATGCCAATCTTGCTCGCCAAGTGAGCCACTTCTCTGCCATTACACCCTCAGGTGCTCTGATGATACCCGTGGCCAGGTCGACAACATGCTGGTTCTCAGATGGTCTTCGACAAGCGTGAGAGAAGAAAACAGTTGCACCGCAAGTACCGCAGAAGGATCTCACGACATCACCCGAGGATTTGAACGTCTTAGCGCTCCCAATGAGGAGATCGTCTTCGATACGAGGCTCGCATATGGATAGAGGAATAAACGTCCATCCCACGACATTAGTCCCATTGTGAAGCCGGCAATCATCACATGCGTCAAAGGTCGCAAGCCATTTAGAATCGTCTCTGTGAGAAACGAATTGCGAATAAAATTTGTCCTCCTTGGTCTCTTGGCTCGGCCGAGGAATAGTGAAAGAGACGCCTTTACACTCGCATTCCACGCGAAGACGTTCTTCGCCGCCCTTCCCAACTTCCACATGAGATTCAACGATCTTTGCCTCGGGGCTGTCGTCAGAAGGGTTCCAGTCAATGAACTCCTTTCCACCAGTATGTGTCAGAGCTTCGGCAATGCCCCGGTCCTTTGTGGAGTTGCTGAAGATGTGCTTGCGGACATCAAAGAATTCTGAAGCATTCACAAATATTGATGAAGCAACTGTCCAGAACTCATTCTCGGGCGGCCCAGTTGAAGCAATGTGGCAACCACACGTCGAGCAGAAGTTCCATGTTCCAACCTTTTTCCCAATGGCGTAGCTCGTCATATTGCTCCTGGAGGATGGTACCACGAACTTGGGTTTCACTCCATCTGGCAGAGGAGCATGGAAGATGCATGGCGCACCAGAGCCATGCCTGCAGAGGCTGCAGTGGCAGAGATGGGTGAGTAGGGGTAGTTTCGAAACTGGTACATCGATTGTGTAATGGACAGAGCCACAATAGCACTTGGCTTCGAGAGTCTTGAATCCATTAGATTCTGCCATGGTTGAGACAGTTGCCAGACAGACCTACATGTGTAGGTAGTAAAGACTGTTGATGATCAATATATAGTAAACGAAGTTGCAGGTCAACCCACGACGAAAGATCGTTTGCTTTTATACAGTGACCTCTGCTTGTGGGGATAGCTCAGCAGGCAGGTACCGCCATACGTCCTCTTACAATTCCTTGGATATATGGAAGCGCATCGGTCCTGTAAAGAGGTTGCTCGGAAGGATTCAGGCCGATTTATTACATGCTTACCCACACTTGGACATGTTGATATCCTACCGGGATTCACAGTCAAAGACAGCATTATCTGTTAATGGCATAACAGACATCGTGAAGTTTACCTCGTCACTATCTTGGTGCACCCCGCGATAAAGCCTTATGACCTGAAGGGCGTGCTTAACGCTAAGGCTAAGACCGCCAGTTATCGATCGTCATGGCTTAGGTCGAAGGGCATTGTTGTGGGGCAAAAGCTGACAGCCAAATAGCCTGGTTGTTAGCCGAAGTTAGCCCGCCAATCTTCAAAGGTTGGTTCCTAACTTTTTTTTCTTTGTGGAGAGGCTGGACCATTCATCATGACTTCAACGCCTCACAAACTTTCTTCCTCTTCTTTCCCTTTGTATCGCAGCGTCATAAAAGTTGCGCCAGATTAGCAAAATGTCGGAGGTATCGGACTTTGATAAACAACAAAGGCAGCTGGAAGATGATCTTAGCAAGCTGCAGAATGCCCTGAAGCATTGGCAGACCTGGCACGTTGAGTACGAGATGCTCAAGGAAGAGGTCGAAGCCGTATGCAATAGTGGCGAGACAGAGTTGAAGACTATTCATGCCGGATTTGAAGGAGAGCTTCTGAAAGATCGTGAGCTTGACGAGATCTTTGGTGAGAGGACACATCGATCTGGCGAACAGATCTTGAATATTCTTGACCGACGCATCGATTACGTTACCACGAACATCACATCTTTACAGAAACAGATCAGCGCTGCTGAGACCAAGCTTGACGAAACTCAACCTGACTTTACTGAGGACGACGGTCTGCCTATCACAGAAATTATCGAGCAGCTTGACGATGATGACAACGTTATTTCTTACAAGCTTAACCAGCCCGATAGTGCCTTACCCAAGATTCAAGATGCCCTTGAGAAGGCCGGTATTGAGGATCTCGAAGATGGCAACCCAGCCTCACATGCCGAGGGCCCTAAACAAAAAGAGGTCGAACACTCCCAAGAGAGTCCCTCCCAGCATACAGAGCTTGAGACCACGACCCTAGCACCATCTGCCACTAAGGGAGTGGCATTTACTGCAGATGCTAAAATGCAAGACGGCCCAAAGCCCCAAGTGTCGCGGAATGCTAAGCGTGTTGAAGAGATCATGAACCATGCCAAAGAGCAGGAGAAGATCAGCAACGAGCAAGCGTACATCCCCGAGGATGAGGATGAGGAGGACGCAGAGTTGCGGCGGCAGATGCTGGAATACTCGGGAGAAGTCGGTGCTGTTGTTGCCGAGCTGCAGCTCGAAGAGGGAGACAGCGACTATGAATTTGAGTACAGCGATGAAGGCTTTGAGGATGATGACGACGACCAGGAGGACAAATATGGTCGGTATACTGGCCGTGTTGTGACAGATGACTACCGTCAAAGAATGCTGGAGTTAGAGAAGAAACTGGGCATCAAATCGCGCTTCACTGAGCAGCCAGAAGACAAGGATGGTGATGCAAGTTCGGACGATGAAGAGGGCATTGGCCGCATTGTCGTCAAGCCAGCCTCCGCGATATCAACGTCATCATCCTCAACCTCGAAATCTGCGCCTACCAAGTCAAACATCAAAGAGAAGCTGCTAGAACAGCCCAACGGCAAAAAGGGCGTTCGCTTTGCTTCCAGTCTGGATATCGCACCGGAGAACGAGCCCACTGTCCTTCCAGTGAGAGAAGCTCCTGTCAAGGAGAAGGAACCCATTGTGGAACCATTGAGCGAAAAGATCGTGGAGCGCTCCAGCACTGCCAAGGCTCCCGATACATCTGAAATCAAGTCGACGCGCAAACCATCGAGATTTAAGAAGGCCAGAGATACTGTTCCACCGGGCCCTCTTGATGTCCCCGCCAAGTTCATGGATCAAGACAGGCCTACGGCACCTACGGGTCCCGAAGGAACAACACTCGCTGACACATTAGTTGAGCGCGAATCCGCACGTGCTGCTCCTCATCCACCGGATGAATTCGATGATGAGTTGATATATCAAGAGGTCGCTGATGAGCACCACAAGCTTCGAAAGAAGTTTATCCAGCGAGAAGGTGGGTTCCTCAAGGAAGATGAGTCTCCGGTCCAACCTTTGGAGGAGCAAGATGGTGGACGAGAGCCAGTCAGTCGTTTCAAGGCTGCCAGGCTCTCAAAATACTAAGCAAAAGAAAAGAAAGGACAAAAATAAGGCACTCAGATCTGGGGATGACAATGGACTGAGCTGCTGGGGGACGAAGAGTCGAGAGAAATCGATTTGTTACCCGTCTTATGCTTCTCTCGAGTTGCCTTGTGTGAAGTGGCATCCGTGATTGCTACACTATAAAACGCGTCGCTTATGCTAACCCTAAGGATAACTTATTAACATTTGATTTGGATTGACTCTTGACTCAAACGGGGTCCCACACGGAACGCTTTTTAATCTGACAATTGATGTGTTGCAGCCTTTAATCTGCTTCTACATTACTAGCGGTTCCAATAGTAAATTCGGACGGGCTCTCTGAAACCATTACCTAAAGCTTGTGGTTTTGGCTATTCGTTTCACCCTTTACATTTTATTTTAGCTATCACACCTTGTCTATTAGTGGTCTGAAGATAAAATAATCCAGCCAAGCTCCTATTATTTGTTATCTGTTGTCTTCCGCCTCGGACCCTCGGTGGCTTCTGACTTGCGTGGTGTTGTCTGCGTCTCTCTTATTATCCCTGTTTGTCGTATTGCCTATTCAAGCTTTTGAGGCTTGCATAAATGTGGAATGCGGGCGTTCCGGAAGTTCGGCACCGCATCTTTCGGCAGTGACCGTGCCGGTTAATGGCTTGCTGACGGCTTTGGACTCTATCATTGGCGAATTACGTGCCTCGAAGAAACCATACTCGGCGTAGGTTTGCCGTACGTCTTATACATAGTATCCTTAATAGTATGGACCCCGGCCAGAACATTCTCCCTGCGGCTGCTCCCGCAGACAATATTTCAGGCCTGGACGGCTACTCGGCATCTCAAGCGTACGTCACAGAAGTCTCTGGTCAAAGCAGAATTAACAGGAATCATACGGTGAGGCCAATCAAGAATGTAGACAAAGACAGGAGCTGCTGGAACGGAGTGGCTGAGTTTCAGTGAAGAGAGAGGCCTCTCAGTTGGCTGAAGGTACTTAAGAGCTCGTTCCTAGCTGTGGGATTGCAGACTTGCTACAATACAATACACAACACTAAACAAACAACCCTACTTCAACGTCCACCACCTTTCCTCTTCTTATCCAGATCCATCACTCGATCTCCTCAGTCATTCAATATGCCTGCCGCCATGGAACCCACTCAGCAAGCCCCCATGACCTCTGATAACGGAGACATCGTCACACAGCAGCCTGTAAGTTGTATCGTACGCGAGGCTCCATGCTTCACAGACTAACACGTATAAAGAGCGCTGAGCCTCAGCCTGATATGACCATGCGTGGTGGTGAGGAGGCTGGCTGCGAGATCTGCTGTGGTCTCTGCGCCTGCGATGAGGGCTGCTGCTAAGCAAACAGCCTCACGTAGAGTGTTCTGAGTAGAATAGACTGCTCGGGATGGAGTTTGGGTAGCATTGTTCTCGTGATTTAGCAACTCCCATCTGGATGGTCGATCCAGTGGAGTAATAAACTACATTCATACACCTGAGTCCTTTCGTGATATAGGCTTTATGTCTAATATGTCTAATAGTAACCTAAACCAAAGATCTGGGACACATTCTTCATGTCAGTTGGGCCAACCCCTTTTGAGGCTCCGTCATTCGCACAATGTGTATCCACCTAAGCCATTAGTCTCGTAGTACGAAGATCATGGCAGGAAACTCCAGCACTCTCAAGTCAGCCACCCTTATACCTGAGAAATTAGGATTCTTCTTCTTCTTCGTCTTTACGTCCGGCATCATCTTTCTGCATCCGATTTCTTTGATGATCCGGGACGTCATTTATGTCGATAATTTGTAGACCTTGTTTCTTCTTGTTAGATCCTGGAATGCCAAAGGTTAATTCTCGATCGGTCTTCTGCCTATTCTCATCGCCTTCATCAATAGCCCCTAGTGATGGCGACTGTCCTTGAGTGGAAGAGTTTGGATTTCCCCGAGGTGTGTTTGGTGTCGATGGAACTGCAGCAGGTCGTTTCTTCTGTATAAAGAGACCAACTGGTTTCTTCGGTCTTGGCTTCTTCAGTTGTGCCTGCTTTTTCCTATGGAACTCTGCAATCTTCTCAGGGTCAGGGCCAGATTTCCCGGGTGCTGGTGTGGCTGTTGCTGTTGGGTTACAAAGCGTTGGGTTACCCCCTGGAAGCATCAGTCCGCCCATCATCATGGGGCGAATACTTGGTTGTTGTTGCGTACTGCTGGGGCCCGCTACGGTGGGTGAGTTATTGGTGGTAGGAGTATGTTGCTGAGCTGCGGCTGCTGGCGAGGGTTGACTTTCAGCTGACAAGATGGGTGCAGGAGTGCTTTGAGGCTTTTGTGAGTTTGGGGCAGTTTGTTCCTCTGGCTGGGTCGTTGCCGTTTGCCTTTCGACCTCAGTGTCACTGACGGCTGACTCCTGCATATTAGCCTCCTGAGTATTGGTTTCCTGATTGTTTGCACTTTGAGAATCAGTCTCCTGAGCGTTAGTGTCCTGATGACTAGACTCCTGGTCTGAGGCATCGTTCCCGACAACAATACCCATATCACTTGCGAGGAGTAATAGATTGCGAGCCGGCGAGTCCATCTCTGCTATATCACCTCCTTCGTCTGCGGTTACCTGGGCGGGCGTTTGTCGTAATGTTTCCGACTGTGTATAAGGTTGCCCTTGTGACACCGACTGAGGAGTTGTTTGGGCCGTGGAAGTGCACTTATGAGTTCGAGATATCGGTTTCGCAATCTTTCGCTTAGCACGCTGTTCAGCGGTGGCCTCTTTTACTGGATCAGGGGGATCGAGGTCCCTGGGAACCTGCAGTCCGTAGTACTTGTCTGGCTGGGGTTTGGTTTCTGCTGCCTTGACTCTAGCACGAAAAGCCTCCAGATGCGGGTCTCCAGACGTTAGAGGTTGAGGGTGAGCACTAAGAGGTTGAGCATCTTGTGTGGGTGTGTCCGGACCATCTTTCGAAAACTCCGCCTCCATCATTTTCGCGAGATCATCTTGTTCTTCTTGAGGCATCGCTTGGTATACGGGAGGAGATTCTGGGGATGTAAAAGGCTGCGCCTGGACACTCGGGTCCTCTGGCTGTTGAATCGGTAGGTGAAGTCCAGCGGTAATGCCGGGTGGTGCAGACGACTGCACATCCTGCATAGGAGTATCTTCAATGCTCCCCTGTTGATCTTCTGTTACTATCCATCTCATTGGGCTCATTGAAGGCTCTCTTTTTGGTTTTGTGTCTTCCGAGGAGTCTTCGTCATCTTGGTCCATGAGGTCTCTAAACACGTCTGGAGCTGCATCTCCTATTCTTTGACTTTCCTCTTCATTTGGTCGCCAAACATCGACCATTTGAGCGTCATCAGTTGGGGATGCTATTGGTACTTGCTCCTCCTTTGTACTTACGCCCGCATCCTCAGCGGCACCTGGCTCGAAACTCCCCATCTCTTCGTCACGGTGGTCAGGACCGGTTCTTTCGGCTGGTGTTTCTGGTACTCCGACCAGGTTTTCTTGTTGGTTTTCTTTATCATCATTGCCGTCGAGGCTATCGCCATATATATCTTCCTCAGACTCCTCAGACTCATTGCATCCATGTACGGGAGATGTTGCGATTGAAGCATCGAGCATAGCGTCGATGTCGATGATTTTCTCAAGTACAGAGGTCTCTTCAGAAACGTTTTCACAAGCTTCAGTCGTAGTAGTATCAATAACCTGTTGAGTCTCCAGAGGCTTGATGGGACTGGGAGACTGTTCTTCCAACGACCCCATGAAAATATCGTACATTTTCTCCCTTTTGATTTGATGCCGGTTGGCCTGTCTAATATTCCTAGAAGGAACATCCTTTCGTGTTTGGCGACGTATGCCATTATTCTCCTTTGGCTGTAAGCGGCGAATAGAGGACTTAGGCCCTCGGCCAATTCTCCGAGAAGCCTCTGGAGCAGACGCGGTTGGATGAACCGGAGCTTGTCGTGTAGACTTCAGGATAGCTGGAGCTGATGTGCGAGGAACCGACTCAATAGTGTTAGGAGGGGCGTGGACGGTAGCATGAGTCTGCACATGCCTAGGTTCAGCATCAGTTGCAGGCTTAGGCGAGTCATGAAGAGGAATAGAGGCAGGAATAGGTGAGGATACAGTAGAGCATTCTGGCTCCTTTACTTCGTCTTCAGCTTTTCTTTCATAGATAAAGACCAAATGGGAGTTGATTGTTGGCTCAGGGCCATCTCGGGACTTGCCCTTATCGGGAGACCTCTGTGTGTCCTCAGGTGAAGCTGGGTCTGGACTCGGCTCTGAGACTGGAAGATCTGGCACAACTACTGGGGCCTCGGGCTCTTCATGAGAAGGAGGTTCGACCAGATCAGTCTGTACTCCACGACTGACGTACGGTTGGGGATGCAGCTCGGTAGGCTCTGTCATCATGCCATGATTAGCAATGTCTGTTGGGTCCGTTTGTGTGCTGCTGTCCTTGACCAAGATACGCCCCGGCCTTCGGTTCCTGAGCCTTCCTTCAACCCAGTCCCTTCTGATCTCTTGGCCGCTCTGTACAGTTCCTGTATCAGCGGGAGCCGGGGCAGGAGTAGCAGCCGGGGCGGGCTCACGGGCGGGAGACGGAGATACAGGGTCGCTGGCTCTAAAGCTTCCAGCTAATGTCACCTCACGAGGTCTGGGAGTAGCAATCAGGCTCAGGCCAGACCGCTCTCGAAGGCGTTGACGGGTTGGTGGCCCTCTTGATTGGAGGCCCGTCCAGGCGAATTCAATCCTTTCATTCTCGATTATCTGTCTCCTGTTTTCCGCCTCAGCGATCCGATCTTGCTCGTCTTGTCGAGCTTTTCTTCTGCTCCTGTCCTCCTGGACCAGCAGTCTCATCCACCGTTCTGCACGAGTATCTCTGGGTTGGAGGTGGGTTACGTCTCCGTCTGGTAGGTCAGGATACTGAAACTCAAGGCCTGTGATGTTGTATAATTCGTCTCGTATAGAAACGAGATATTTCCTCACAATTTCTATTGCTTGGCAAGCCCTGAACCAGACCATGGGAAAGTATGTAAAGATGCTTGGCAACGAAAGAAAGAACCAGATCTTCCACATAGTGGAAAAGAAGGGTCTTACCACCTCTTGGTGGTTCTCGTACCCATATCGAAATACTCTCGGGATGATAACCAAAAGGGACAGCGTGATGACGGAAAGGATGAGCTCGACCAAGCTGACGGCATGCCAGTGGCCAAGGAGGATTGTGATGGCCATAAGAAAGATGAAGTGTATCTTGTTGATGATAATGTAAAGAACGGAGATAATGGCGAAGATCACATTGTGGTATTCGTTGTCAAAACACTCGTGTATGGTGAAAATAGAATCCCACTCGCAGTTGTCGTCAAGGGGCAGCCAACCCCAGGCCCGGCTGAGATCTGATGCGCGTGTCATTTTGTTGATTCGTGTCGATAGAATGGCTTAGAAGTTGCAAATGTTAGTTCCTTTGAATTATGGCGACTTCTTATAGTATAGTTCAGTATAAAGAGCGTATGAATGAGATTGTGGAAGTGTATATAAGTGTGTATATATGTGTATGAAGGGTTCATGGAACTCACTTGAAATACGATGCGAGGAGTTGAAGGTTTATGATTTACGGTACTGATGAGATCCTTTCAAGAAGCAGAATTTGAAGAGTTACGGAGTTGTTTGGCGAATTCATTGTTACTCGCAGCATTCTTTTGTTGCGAATGAAGTCCTTGTTGACAGTGGCCAAGGTCAACAGCTGCAGACGCTGGCAGTGTCAAACCACAGGATAGTCGCTGAACAAGCACTGGCGAACAGTGACAGTAGAAGGGCAAACTCTTTCAGTCACAAAGATGTATTGGCCTTGCTGTGTGAACACTGATCTTGAGAAATGTAGATATTGACAATAAAAGACGAGATGGCTTTTAGAAGAAGTACCACATAAGCAATACCTACCTTCAAGTTTGGCCTTATTGTATCACATCCATTCCGTTGAAAGGTCCTTTATGCCTGCGCAGTCACAGACAAACATGAGACAATGGTTGATGAATAAATGATTTTATTTTCACAAAAGCCTTTGTTGTTGAACATCAGCTAATAGAGCAGTGCCACAAAGCACTGCAATAGACAAAGACAAACGCAAACCTAGGTATCTATGTCCAAACAACGCCAGTGATTCGTTCCCATATGCTCCTATTCCCGTTACCATCGTCACTCATTATACTGGTTTGTATACACTATCCTGCCTTGCGACCTCTCGCAATCAGTCTTCCGTGCAATTCAACCATCACATCACTCCATTGCTCTTCTCCAGCCCCAACAGCCTTGCCAATCCGTGTCATTAGAAAATCAGCCACTTTGGGTACGTTAAAGTGTTCACCATACAGCACCTTAGCTTCAGGTGCAATCACCACGTCGAGTGCTTCGGCACTGCTTTGACCCTGGAGATCCAGCTTGATTTCAAGACGAGTCTCAAGAGGCACGAGCAGCAGAGATGTTGTGATCGCTACGCTTGAGTCGGATGTTCTCTCCACTGTCGTGGGAAAGGTGGCGTTTAGTCGTTCAACTTGCGATGAGACGAGGTTTGCCTTGTCCCAGGCAGTTTGGACACTTGTTAGGAGGCGGGAAACCTCAGTGCGGCTATGGGGAAGCGCGCGAACGTAATCTCGAATACTCTGTAAGAAGAACTCCTTCTCTGTTGTCTTGGGAAGTGCGTTCTGCTCCCGGCTATCGGCGATATACCAGAGATCAATTGTCGAGTTCGGTTGATGCTCCTGAAATGCAGCGATGTCGAAGACAATCTCAATCTCACGCCTGTAGGCCATCGATAGGACAGTGCCAGAAATGCCAGTCACTGACCAGCCATGCTGCTTCTGGATGGCGTCAACTCGGGCTAAGATTGTGTTAGTTACCGCTTTATGGCATAATTACAAGACTTACCTTTAAGGCTATTGACCTCTATGCTCGTCCAGCCACGGCATTCCTCTCGTATCTTCTCAGACTCTGCGATGTCATCGACACAATGCTGTTTTTGGGTAATCAAGTCCTCTACTTCAACTTCTGAAGCTTGGAACTGCTCTCTTAGCTCTGCGATGCGCTTCTTCTTATACTCGACGTCCTCGTCAAGAGACGCCAGCTCGTCGCGAGCAGCCTCGAGATCGGCAGGGTCACAATCAGCAAGCTCTCGGGCGATCTCTTCGAGATTATTGCTTTCTTCCAGAACGGACTTGTAACGGGCCACAATGGCGGGTAGCACGGAATCAAGGAGAGTCTTCTGCTTATCCAGAAACTCCTTGTCTGCTTCCATACCATCGTCGATTCCTAAAAGACCTTCCTTCAATCCCTCTTGCAGTTTCATTCGCCATTCATACCACATAGCTTTACTTAACAAGCGAGCGTGGTTCTTGACGTTCATGAACTGCTTGTCCATCAGAGTCTTGATCTCAGGTGTGGCCGCCATATACTCCTTGAACAGAGGCGGGTTCTCTTCAAAGGTGTCGCTCTCAATTTCCTTTACGATTCGTCGACCTTCCGATATATACTTCTTCAGCTCGCGGCATGAGTGCTGATAGAGTTCAAGCATCGGCACTGTGCAAGCTCCAGCAACAACACAACGTTCGAGGGAAAGGTCCTCTTCACCGTCATCAAGAAATCCGTTGTCAAGAGTTCCGGGAGCTTGCGTATGACGACGCTTGGTCGTTGTCAGCTCCATGAAGCGGATTGAGGTCATGTTCAGGAAATCCTGAAGGTGAATTCTATCTCCGTCTTGGTCGGCCTCTGCTTCTGCTTCGTCCTCCAGCTGCTCTGCATCTCTGACCGGTGTATCATCGAAATTCACCTGGTGGCCAGCTCTGTCATCTTCAACATCCTTAAATCTACCCTGGTGCCTTGGGGTGGTTGCTGCATCGGGCTTCTCGGGCGATGACAACGTCGGCGTAGCAGTATTTGGCTGCAGGCTTTGTCGGAATGAATAATTCAGTCTTCCCGTCGTCTCTTCTTTAGAGGGCGGTTGCTGAAGTCTGACGTTCTTGACTGGGCTTCCTTGGTGACCTTTGAGTCTCTTGACGCCATCGTTATCCTCTGGTTCATCCTCATCGTCGTCAAGTTCATTAGGTCGCTTGCCGAGAAGGCCTTTGGCACTTCCTACATGAAGACTCTTGCGACCCCTGAGTGGCTTACGCTTAGGACTTAAGCTGTCAATCATTTCTCGTAGGTTAAGTGTGGCTTCGGCACCGTCAGCTTCCCTCTCAAGGATCTTTCTGCGGTTTTCTTTATCTTCTTCTTCCTGTGCCTCACGATCAACTTCTTGCGTCATCTCCTTAGGGTCTTCAAACATGACTCCACGCTTTCCTGGCACGAAATTTGTAGCCATATCACCAATGGAGCCCCGTCGATCGAAAAGCGCTGTGACTTGTGGGGACCCAAGTCCAGCCCGGTCAGCACCAATCCCTGACAAGCTCCGTTGAGGTGTAAGTGTCACTGTCGGAGTTCGGTTGCTGTTTCTGAAATTGTTTTGGAAAAGACCTTGCTTGGGAGTGGACTTGACAGGTGATGGCGTCCTTGAACTAGCTCTTGTCGTTCTGACAGAAGATGGTCGCTTTGGCGAAGCTGAACGAAGGTTTCGTTGCGTAGAGCGAGGTGTAGCCCTCTTTTCCGATACAACCGAATCGAGTTGAGGCGTAGCTGGTTTGGCTGATGTTGGTGTTCTGGCCTTGATTGACTGCGGTGTTGTTGTTGCTTTTGCAGGTGAAGGTGTGCGAGAGTTTCGAGGATTTGCTTGCGGAGTTGAGATTTTAGTATCAGCGGTACTTCGTAAAGCGCTCCTTGGAGTCCTTGAGGGACCGGGACTTGGTGTCTTAGTCTGCTTATTGCTCGGAGTTGTGGGTTTAGCTTGTTCGTCAACTGCACTCTTGCCAATAGCAGCCTGAAGTGCATCATCAGGACTATCTGCACTATCAGCTTCCTCTTCCATAACCCGCTTGCCCAGATTTCGTGAGCCATCTATCGCTTTGCTGAGAATGCCCCCAATGGCAGTGGTCATATCCATACCGATCGTAGCATCGCCTTCCTCCCCATCCTCATCCTCGATGTCTTCTGGACCATCAGCTCCAGATTTTGACAGGATCTGGCCAACTGCAAGAGTCATATCCATGGGGGCATCATCATCATCCTCATTTTCGCCACGGGCGACCGTACGCCTTCGAGAAGCAGCCATGCTCTTCCGCTTCTTTTGTGACAGGACTCCGCCCATAACAGTCGTGAGTTCCATTGACATGTCTTCGTTGCCGTCTGACGCCTCATCTTGCTCGAGCGCTGGACGTCGGATACCGCCAATTGCGGTTGTGAACTCCATGGTCGCCTCTTCCATTGGGGTATCCTGTTCCTCTTCGTCATCGTCATTGTGAGCGCTGGTTTTCTGGGGATGGTTGACGATACCACCGAATGCACGTGTAACATCCATGGACATATCCTCATCAGGGTTATGTTCTTGTGGGGGTTGAGGTTTGATAATGCCCCCTATTACACGAGTGACGTCCATAGACATATCCTCATCGGGATCGTACTGCTGTGTGGGTTGTGGCTTAATGATACCGCCGACTGCGCGTGTCATTTCCATATCCATGTCCATGTCCATACTCATGTTTGTTTCCGTGGCGTCCTCCGTATCTTGTATTGCTTGAGCTTGCTGAGTCCGAGCTGGAGGCAGTAGGTTTTCTTGATCTTGCGCAGCAATGTTGTTCTTGTTCTCTTTGCCCCATCCAAACATGGGGATATATTCTTCGTCGTCGTCAAGGTCGTCTTCTTCATCATCTTCGAGTTGTTGGTTGCCAGCTCTTCGCGCAGCCAGTCTGAGCGCTTCATCGAGAGTGGATGACTCTCCATCAGAGTCGATCGATCGATCTGAGGCAGCTGTTGTTCCGGTCACATCATCAACAGTCATCATTGTTCCATCATCAGATTCGCTGCTCTCATCATCGCCGTCTTCCTCAACATCGGCAACCTCTTCGACTGCATCTGCAGGCTCGGAATCTGAACTATAGAGCGTTGTCGCAGTGTCGTCTTCGGAGTTGTGGAAATTGACTTGTGGGAGTCCGGAACTTCGTCTCTGCTTCTTCTCTTCGTCATCCCGTTCCTTTTGCTGAGCGGCGGCATTGGAATAGGCTGAGTTTCGCCTTGTTGAGTCGGTAGATGTCGTTGAGTCCTGGTTAAATTCAACTTCATGAAACGTGTGGAGAGTTGCCTCTGCAGCAAAAGATACGCGACGGTTGGCAAGAGATTTGCGACGAGCATCGCGACGTTCCCGCTCCTCTCGTTCCCGAGCTGCGGCTTGCTGCTCTTCTTCTGTCTTGACTGCAATCTTGGAGCCGCTGTTATCTGCGCTATTCGGAGTCGGAACATCTTTTGTTGGTTCTCCAAAGTCAATTAGATCGGGCTGTTTCGGCTTCATAGGCGGTATTTCAGGTATCGGCATGGTTTGTTTGAGAATTGAGCGCGGGGCTCTTGATGGGACTGCAAGAGACTAGATTTATTAGTTATTACTGTACGGAGTAAAAAAGGGTCATGTCTCACAGCTCGTCTGTTTCCGTTGGCTTTCATGAGAGCGTCCAGGCCACCAGGCCCTAGACTCTTGCTTCTCGACTTTTTGCGACTCGCGGCCAACGAACTTGTGACGTCGACGGTCGCATTTTCTTTTTCGAAGGCCTTATTAACATCTGTATGGGCACCGACTGATCTTCGCGTGCGCCTTGTAGCAGGCAAAGTTGCATCGGCGGGCGCCATTATGCGTGACTGAGCTTTTGGGTTTTGTCGAGTCTAAAGTCTAACCCCAACATGAAGCGCGACGACGATAAGTGATAGTGGGCTGTGACTTGCCTATCTCGCGTATGTTTGTTTACTTTGGCTGCCAGGGGAGGACAGTGGGACCCACCTCAGTCAACTGCTACTCATTGACCCACTCTCCATCACAGCCGGAAATAGCGCCAGTTCACGTGAGATTGTTCCACAAAGTCACGTGGGTCTCTGGCGCTCTGCACCGCGAAAATCACAAGCCCTAATTTTCTTACTAAGGAAGGCACGCAAAAATTGGTGTTATTTTCTCCTTCCGCCTAGCATAGCCAATCTCAACCTCGCCTCACCCAGCTCAACCACACGCCATCTCGTTACGGTACCTGCCCGAGAAGGATAATTCAAGATGTCAGTGACAGTCCAGCCCAACAGCAGCGTCGAAACCGAATGAATACACGATGTCGAAATCGAATGAGTCGCTAACCTTTGCATCAGGGCGACCGAGTTGACCGTCCAGTCGGAGCGTGCTTTCCAGAAGCAGCCTCACATCTTCCAGAACTCGAAGACCAAGACCAAGAGCACCCGACCGGGCAAGGGTGGCCGACGATGGTACAAGGACGTCGGTCTGGGTTTCCGAACCCCCAAGACCGCCATTGAGGGCAGCTACATCGGTACGTTCGAAAGATTCGAGATTTTGGGACTTGGAGGAGCACACGAAGTCGAATATTGCCAAACGATGGATCCCTAAACAACGACGACAATCGACCGTGCTGGGAGGATTTGCGCAAAGAAAGTATATGTTGGAACGTATCACTAACATTTGGATCTCAGACAAGAAGTGCCCCTTCACCGGTCTCGTCTCTATCCGTGGCCGTATCCTGACTGGCACCGTCGTTTCCACCAAGATGCATCGCACCATCATCATTCGACGGGAGTACCTCCATTTCATTCCCAAGTACTCTCGTTACGAGAAGCGACACAAGAACGTTGCCGCTCACGTCTCCCCCGCTTTCCGTGTTGAGGAGGGTGACCAGGTCACCGTTGGCCAGTGCCGACCCCTCAGCAAGACCGTACGTTTGGAGCGAAAGATCTGGTATCAGTGATGATTGCTAACATGATTCAAGGTCCGCTTCAACGTCCTGCGTGTCCTGCCCCGAACTGGCAAGACTGTTAAGAAGTTCTCTAAGTTTTAAGTTGGGACTTTCTTCTGGCATTTTTTCGGCGTGATAAGCATCAGGGGAAATGGGAAGTTTCTCCTGAAGGGTCGGGCACCGGATGTTGCGTTGCAAATGATTGTGCTATAGATGCAATCGCGAATAAAAAGGATTCACGAAGACAATTGTTTTGGGTTGATGGTTCAATCGGGCGTGATATGGCTAGGAAAAGGGTCGTCATGATCTCAAGATTACGTTCATACCTTTGACTATTCGCCGACTAAAAATGCCAGTGCCGTGAGGAACTGTTGTTTGACCTGTGTGAAGCGGTTGTGTTTATGGTGAAGATTTCAGTTCATGATGGATGCGACTGAAGTTTGATGATATGAGGTGCCATGTCACCTGAATAAAAGAAATAGCTATGACAATGACATAAAGAATTCCCATCTAAACTAAGTGCTTGATGTTATGAAGAAATATTTGGAATTGCTGGATCATATGAATTCAGTCTTGCTTTGTGAATTATCGTTACCTTAGATGAAAAATAGAGTTGGTGTACAGTGTTGCGTACAGTGCGTCGCTGAAATTCTTACCTCCACTCTATCACAGTTGAAGCTATGCTGAAAGTTTAGAGGGCCAACTTCAAGTCCAGCTTCAAAGTCAACCGTGTATTAACATCAATTCAGAAAAAGGAATTCGCTGCAATGGGTTGGATATCTTCGGTCCTTGGTACCGACAAGTCGTCAGATCCTCTTTCGAAACTCGATCCCAGCCTTCGCGACTTTCTGGAGAAAGAGTCCCCCCTCAAATATCCTTCAAACCAACCCACGGATTCTCCTCCATCAAATCAGCAGCCCCGAAATGCCGATATAACGGTGACAGCTACAGAACCACAGAAGCCAGTCGTTCCTTCGGCAAGCCTGTATCAAGACGGTCGATATGCCCACCTCTGGAAGAACTACCAACCACTCGCCGAGATCGAGGCCGAGACAGCAACCGATCATGAGAAGTTAATGAGCGTCTTGGAGGCATACAAGGAACGAAAAGAGGCCATCGGCAAGGCGGCGTTGGAAAACTGTGCGGAGTACCAAGAGGAGTGGGTGAATTGCATGAAGCATGGAAGCTGGGAGGATCAAATGCAGATGTGTAGGCATCAAGTTCGAAGATTCGAGAGGTGTTACATGATGCAATCGGTATGTTGCCTTCAGTCATTTCACTTAAAATCCTCTCTCTAACTTTCTTATAGCGATTCCTTCGAGCGCTAGGACATGGATCAGTGGTGGGCAGATCGCCTGAGGTGGAAGAAGATATACAAATGCACGCCGACTCGCTTTATCAGCGAATGATCAAGCACGAGGAGGCAGTAGAGAAGGCTAAGGCAGAAGGATTGCCCGCTCCGGTCTTCCAGACAACATTACCGAAGGCAAAGAAAGATGCGGTCATGCCCACCGAAGAACTTCAGCAACAGTGGAAAGAGCAGCTTAATAAGCTACCAGCTGAGGAGCGTGCGGTTGAAGAGGCTGCTCTTCGTGCCGATCTCCAGGCTAAGGCTGAGGTTGCTGGCAGTGTTCAGAAGATTTGGGATACACAGGCGGAACAGAGAAAACAGAGACAGGCAGAGGGTACCTCTACATTTGGAGATTACATTGCATCTTTGTTTGGAAAATCTGGGAAATAAAACGGCGGAGCAGGGAAGAGAAGCATATTGTATAATTTTGTATATCATGATAAGCAGACTCTGGCCTATCTCTCCAAGCTGCACGAGTCAATGTAAGACTATATGAATGAATATATCAGTCCAATAAATTGGTTTTGGTGATTGTCAGTTACAATCTTGCATCAATCCAATATCTTAGCCTAATTTTCGTGTGATACCTCCTTTTTAATGTAATGAATATTCGCGACCAATGCGTCGCCATCATAACAGATAGGAGGCCTAGCTGGTGAGGATCGAACCCCTGACCCATTACAATAGATCGTAAGAGACTTATCAATGAAAACAATGACTTTCATCTCATAACCCGGCTTCAACTTTGTACTTCTTGCTACCCTACACCACGAGAACAAACCTAGCACTTGGCTGCAACTTGGGTGCAATTTTGCCTCTCTCCTAACATCAATTAGCACGGTTCCGTGGTCTAGTTGGTTATGGCATCTCGTTAACACCGAGAAGGTCCCCGGTTCGATCCCGGGCGGAACCACACTTTTTGCTGTTCTAGGTACCTACTGAAGCGCATGTATTTCTTTTTATACTGTGATGAAAAAAAGACAACTGAGCGAGCAGAGGCAAGTCCCGTTCTATAACTTTATACTCGGTGTTAAGATAAACCTTTTAGTATTCTATAATAAACTAGAATGAAGTTATATCTACTGGCTGGCATGCCTCTGCCATGGATAACGCGATGATTTGTTTGAGAGCAAAAAGTTTCGATCTCCTCGTTTACTCGCATTGTCTTCACAGCATTTAAATCAATCACAAGTAATCACTTGAATTCATTGCTCTTGGGTAAAGCGATATCATCTATTCTTTACCTTCATCCACCCACTCGTTCCCCGACGAGGGGAATTCTTATCACCACCTAGCAAGTCTTTGTTGGGTTGATTCGTATCCACAAGCTCCTCTTCAACTTTCCATGCATCATCATCTAGAACTTCCCAGTCAGGGGCAGGCGCCTCACTGAGCAGCTTCTTTTTGAGCTTGTCTGCCAATTTCATCGGACCGGGAAGCTTGAACGTCTTACTGAACTCGGTGCCCTCAGCTCCGCCAAGGTAGTAGAAAGTTGTGCCGTGGGAATATTGTCCCATGCGGCTGGGTTGGGCATCGGCATCATTCTTAGGTGCGCTCGGATCCTTATTGTTAGATGATAATGGATAGAGGTTTCCACCAACATTTTGGTGATTTGTGAGGAGCTCGTGTAGATTGCGACCCATATTGCAAATGTCCTCAAAGTAAGTCCTATCACCTATCGAAACGCCTTGCGTACTGCAAGCCCAGGCGACGTTGTAGGCGAGCAAAGTCACACCTTCTATGAAATATGAGAAAGTTGCCGGATCTTCCTTGGCCAACAGCGCTGGTGGCTTGTCAATGAAAAGAGGTCTTGGACGTGAAACACGCTGAGACTCCGTGTCTCCAGAGAGAGAAGGATTTCCTACTCCTATCTGGATAGGAAATACTGGATCTCCAGTCCTGTAAGAAGCAGAGAGATTGAAGATAGTTGGCCGTGGGTAGTCGCGATGAGGAAGAGTGATTGCCGCAGGAAGGCGGATTGAAAGATAGTGTGATACGAGCATAAGGATATGACAAATGTGGCTGAGAGAGGTTGAAATCATCTCTGGCGTTGATGCTATAAATGAGTTAGTATATAGTTGAAAGAGTCGTGGGAGAGCCTACAGTTCATTGTGGCCAAATCCACAACAGGGATTCCGCCGAGGTAATACTCATATTTGCCAGCAGAGCCTTCTTTAACACGTTCCAGTCCATATAGTCGGGCTGCCTCCATACAAAGAAAAGATCTTGTACGGGCCATATCGCCAGCGCTGCGAGACCACTTATACTTAAGTCTGCCAATGTCCGTTTCTATGTCTTTTTGCTGCCTTACTCTGCGCTCAACCAGGCCATCAGATACAGCTGCGATATCCGACTTGCGACGAGAAAGCGCAGCTTTCCGGACCTGGATCTCCTCTCTGGCAGCTTTGATGTCATTTCTGAGCTTATCGGCAGCGGCTAAAATTTGGGTCGTTCTATCTTCAGCTGTTCGTTGTTGCGCCTGTAGTGATTCTTTGTGAAACTTGTTTGGGGTGCTCGTCTCATTTAATAGTTCGTTTATTTCATTCTGGATACTCTCGTTTTGCAGGAGAAGTTCCACATTCTTTATGCGACCATCAAGAAGTGAGTTCCTGGCGTCCACGGTGCAGAGGAAAGGGAGACGCTCTGTGTCGTGAATGCGATGGCAGATATCGCAGTCCATCCTGGCTTTGTGTCTTTGCCACTTGCGTTGAGGTAGTTGTCGCTATCCGATGATCTAAGAAGATCAAGAGAACTACGTTCAGCCTTCCGGTAATAAAAGAGGAGAGGCGGGGCGCATCTTTATAAGCCCGAGATAAGTGATTCAGAGTGAAAGCCAGATGACTTGTAGGCTTCGAGGTTGAAGATGGGAGTCACGAGTCGAGCAATGATAGTGACGGCGCTGTGGCGCATGCACATAAGCCACACAGGCAACCAACCAAATAATGCAGGAACATCCACTGCAAGACATCTTCTACTGTTAGTGAGCAAGTGCATTCGATTTAAATAACTTCACCATTTAGGTACCGGGAATTAATTTTTCCTTCACTGAACTCTATCGATTTTGGCAGAAGTCATCATTCCGCGGAATAAAGATACAAGCTTCAAGAATCACCAATTCACCTCTATTCAACGCCCCAAGGCAGTTGATCAGGCTGTGCACTGATCAGTGCTGCACGTTCCTAACCCACACCCCTGTTGCTTGGTCGACAACACCCCTGGCGATTCAACGCGACATGCCTAACATGGATTTAGCACTTTCACTACAACAAGACGGCGAGAATTGTCACAGTCAAGACGAGGTCAAACCTTCTGCCCCTGCTCCCGAGGAAAGAGACATGAACAACATTCAGAGACATCCGCATGCCAGGAGCAGGACACCCGAACCTCAGGTTGATCAACAAGTCAGCAATTCTGATCCGCCAGACACTCCTGGTGCTCTCGAACCGTTTGACTGGGATGAGTTTGAAGCGCGTTATGAGGCTGCTTTGCAAGAGGCAGATGAACGGGAGCGGGAGATTCTGAAGGAGGCAGATGCCCTATCAAAGGTGAATTCTTTTGAGTAATGATACAGACTGATGAAACTAACGTCTGAGGAGTACTTCAAAATTTGGGCAGCTTCTGCGTCAGCGCACGATGATGAGCGGGCAGCGAAGCGCCTACAAACACGAAGACGCTTTGTAAATCTCGCTGAAGACAAAATGGAACGAAAACAACAGCATTGTGAGCCTGACGTTCTTTTTGTCCCATCCTTTGACCAAATATTGACGCTTTTCAGATGATCAAGTTGTGAGAGCCTTTGAAAGTGCTTTAGCGCTTCTCAAGTCCCAGTGAGCTATCTATGGGCTTTGAGTTGCTGGTGAAGCTTTAACCCGGCTCCGTCATCAAACTTTTGGACTGTCTTCTGACAACATAATTTGCTTGCCAAATATGCTGGCCAGGCTGCCAGGACATGTTTTTCTCTTTTCACTCTGGTCGCACTGGTTGTTGGTGCATTGGCACGTGACATAATTTCAGCCTGGGCGCGTCTTCCGCCAATCTCGCCAAAGCGCAAAGCATGCCTGATCTCGCGTTAAAGAAAAACCAAGACATGCCGCAATCAAACGATGAAAGTACAACGAGTGCGCATGTAATACCCAACATTTCCCCCGTACGTTACCCTAGTACGCGCAGTTCGATAATGTACTGACACTTCTAGGATGATCTTTTCGCTTTCCACAAATCCCATTTCTCGCACACAGCCCTCGCCGCCTTCGGATCTGAATTCATAGACTCGCCCCCCCGGGATCAAACTCAAGATGACGCCGTCGACGACACCTGGGAGGAGGAAGACGATGACCTGGGCTATTATCCGGATGGTGTGAAAAGGACTTTGACGGATGCGCAAATCGAGATATTTCGACATTCAGAACTCGAAACTCTGCGCAAAGAGAAAGAAAGAGCGAAACAGCTGGGCTCGAAAGAAACAGCGCCGTCGAGCGAGGCCATGGATTTGAGTGATGATACCCCTATTTCTACGCAAACCAAAAACCTGTCTTCCACGTTACCTGCTTCCTTCCAGAGTAATAAGAAACGAAAGAAGAAGAAAGGTCTTAAGCGCCCTCGCCCTGAACCGAAACCGGACTTGCGCAAACGAACCTGGGACGTCGTGGACAAGGGCTTGGACACGCTGGAATACGACTAAGCACGTTCCCTAGATGCAGAAGGGATACTGCTTTTGGACTTTCGAATGTTACCCACTAAGAGATTTTGATTTGTAAGTTGATGCCCCCTAAAGTGTGTTTGAACCTCGTCGTGATGAAAACACTTGTATCGTCATCCTTAGTCGGATCGGGGCTGGAGGTGGAGGAAGTATTGGCTTTGGCTGATATTGACGCCTATGCAGCCCTGAAATGTCGAGCAATTAATCTTCTCTCTGAGAAATGAGGCTGTTTATTCGTATTCTACCCAGCAAGCAGCTTGTTCATGTTGCTAACCATGATCGTAGTGTAGCATACGGCCTGAATCAGGCCACTTTGACAAGTTTCACAACGCAGCTTGTTCGTATTATACGTCTTTCGGTGACCAATGAAGAGACGAGGTAGGCGCGTTGATTCCAGTAGATGTCGAACCATGTATTTTGTTCAAGGCCTATTCGTGACGCACATGTGTCTGTTTGGTACCAATACTGAATTCGTCTTGTTGTCGAGGTCTCAGAAGAAAGGGCAATAATTATATTCTCGAACTTCCTACCTCTAGGAGATGGGTGTACATATAATATAGACCTAGGCTTAGCTTCCTTGAGCATGAGATAATTATATTTGTTCAGATGATAACAAGATGTTCATAAAGTAACAGTTATTAGCAGCCTCAACCCTTGGGCCTCGGAGAGTCTAAGTACTTCACTGTTTTTCTGACAGCCTCTAAGTTTTATTAGGTTGTATGTAGGCAGTCGGAGTCAATTAGAAGTGAATGCCAGAAACAGCCAGGGCGCAAATCAATTCAGATCCCGCACAGGCCACCGTTTAGGTACTTGCCTTGTGATTGATTTGGAGGTACTCGTGCCCATTCGACAGTGTTATCGCGGAGCAGCCGATAAGCGCAACAGCGAATCACAGACCAGCCCGCCCGCCAAAACAACGGGGCAAACCTGGGCTGGGCTGGGCTGGACCCGACCTGAAATGCCATCCCACCTTGATTTTGCAAACCAAAGTCAAAGCAGGTCCAGCCTCTCCTCTTCAGCCTCTTAGACTAGAGACCTTGGGTTGGGCTCGACTAGACATATACGAGTACCTCGACCTCGACCTCTCATCTTTAGCATCTCTATCGCTCCGACCATCATCGACGCCCTGCGATACCATCTCCCTCTACTGCCAGCGTCACCTCCCTGCGACGCTCTCGATCTCTGCCCATCATGGCGCGCGTCTACGCCGATGTCAACCAGAGCATGCCCCGCAGTTACTGGGACTACGACAGTGTTAACATCAGTATGCCCTCACCCCACGTGAGAACTCCCTTGACAACGAAGCTGACAACCATGCAGGCTGGGGTGCCCTAGAAAACTACGAGGTCGTCAGAAAGATCGGTATGTCGTCGTCCTCCATTTCGTTGCTGAGTTATTGACCCTTTGTGCGTCTGTAGGCCGTGGAAAGTACTCTGAAGTCTTTGAAGGCATCAACGTCGTCAACTACCAGAAATGCGTCGTCAAGGTTCTAAAGCCTGTCAAGAAGAAGAAGATTAAGCGCGAGATCAAGATCCTCCAGAATTTGGCCGGAGGTCCTAATGTTGTTGCCTTGCTCGACGTTGTTCGGGATGCGCAGGTTGGTGCCAAGTTCCTCAACTGACATTGCTGATATCCAACTGACCACAACCGCAAATAGAGTAAGACGCCGTCCCTCATTTTCGAGCACGTCAACAATACCGATTTTCGAAGCCTCTACCCCAAGTTTAATGACATCGATGTCCGGTTCTACATCTTTGAGCTCCTCAAGGCTCTTGACTTCTGCCACAGCAAGGGTATTATGCACCGAGATGTCAAGCCTCATAACGTTATGATCGATCATGAGAACCGAAAGGTTGGTCATTCTGGTATGAAATGTCTGACGTAGAGCTTACTGACAGTTTCCAGTTACGTCTCATCGATTGGGGTCTGGCCGAATTTTATCACCCCGGTACCGAATACAACGTCCGTGTTGCCTCTCGCTACTTCAAGGGTCCAGAGCTGTTGGTCGATTTCCAGGAGTACGATTATAGTCTCGACATGTGGAGCCTGGGAGCCATGTTTGCTTCTATGATCTTCCGAAAGGAGCCGTTCTTCCATGGGAACAGTAACTCTGATCAGCTTGTGAAGATTGCAAAGGTTCTTGGTACTGATGATCTGTTTGACTACATTGATAAGTACGAAATTGAACTGGATGCGCAATATGACGACATTCTCGGACGATTCCAGAAGAAGCCCTGGCATAGCTTCGTCACCTCGGAAAACCAGCGATTTGTTTCTAATGAGGCCATCGATTTCCTTGACAAGCTACTGCGATACGACCACCAGGTTTGTTTATAGCTCTGACATCCCCTCTATTTGATCTAACATTTGTATAGGAGCGTTTGACCGCCAAGGAGGCGCAAGCGCACCCCTACTTCAACCCCGTCCGTGATCCCGAGGTTTTCAAGCAACACCTTGCAGCTGCTAATGGCGCTGCCAACAAGTCTTGAGAGTGCTTGGAGTCATAGCTCTCCAACACTCATCATCTCTGGCGATCCATCTCGTGGCAACCCTTACCCATGATACCCTGGACCGGCGGTTACTGCTTTCCTTTGTCGGTCTTCGCCCCCTGATAGGATATACCCATATTAGGAAGAGAATATATCAGCCGGATCCGCCTCGATCCTTTCCGCTGTGAAAGCGCGCCGACTCAGTGGCACTGTGAGATGGATTTCATGAGATTGTGGCTGTATGAGAATATCTTACAGCCTCAGCTTGACGTATGATTCGATCGGTTCGGCTCGGTGAGGAGAAGCTTGCGCGACATGCCGAATGATCTCGGACGTTGTTACAGGGGCGATGTGGAATGAGACAATGTGGTTTCGGCGTTCCAGGTTCTGGGGGTTATAGCACATTGGGACCGAGGGCTAATCTAATCACCAACACTCCTAACCTTTTTCTAGCTTTGTAGTTGGAGGTTTTTATGCTTTTGGGTCAGTTTTTCTCGAGTAGCGTTAAGAATTAAATAAAACCACAGCGCTATGTTTGCTTGTTGTATATTGATTCCCACATGGCTTTATATTCTATGTTTTTCTCAACCAAAAAGTAATCTGTGAGAGCAGAACGGCCATTCATATACAAGTGAAGCAAAAGTCTCGGCCACATTGATAACCATCTACACCACACGTCCATAACGTGCCCCCTGGTGTCTTGACCGTGTTGATAGGACTGGACATCTCATGGACACGCTTTCTACTGGGTGTCCGTTGAATTTCTCTGGTTAGGGCACTCGCTCGCCAAATCCTTTTTGTCGAAGGACGGACGCTTGCTGCCTTGGATGTTGATTTGACTCTGCGTGCTAACTCATCCCGAGACCCGCTAGTGTCTGATTCTGAATCCGACACAAACGAGAGGAGGGATCGGCGTGATGATGGTGCACGAGTAGTACGAATGGAAGCATGGCGAGGGGTGTGTGGTTTGTGAGAGCTTGAAGGAGGTTCCGTAAGAGGAGTCCTGGTGTCTTTTGGCTTCCGTGGTGTCGATACCCCCTGAACCATGGTATCATGAGGCAATTCGGGGAGAGATTCGTCATCATGTACAGCTTCATCGTGAGGAGGCGCATAATCGGAGGAGTTGTCGTTAAGACGAGACTCACTATCATCAGGGGGATCGCTATAGTTGGAAGGCCTGTCAACATGGACGGTCGAAGAAGGACTAGCTGTAGGTGACTGCTCGTCTCCGACGATTACGACGGTTGCCGGTTTTTCCATAGACCCCTCCAAGATTGTATTTGGTTCCTGTAATAGCTCATGCGGCTTTTGAGGCACCGGCTGTTCCTCTTGGCCAACTGCAATATCCTCGTTGACTTCCATTGACTCGTTTGTGCCGTGGCTGGGCTTTTGGAGCTTTTCCCGGGACCGTCGAAGCTTAATGGACTCATCTGAAGTTTTAGCTTGTGATCTATGAGCCGCGGGACTCTTGGGTTTTGTCTTGAGAAGCCACTTGAGTTCGCTCGTTAGATGATGTGTTATTGGACGTCCTTCAGTCTCTGTATGATCATCATCCGACGTTTGTTGAGTTTCTTCCTCGCGATCAGGACAACCATGACTCCTTGTACCATAGGTTGAGTGATCTTTGAACCTAACTTCAATATCGGGATTCGCAGGATACGACTTCTTTGGCGTTCCGGCATCATGTCGTTGAGGCGCGGTGGGGCCCTTTGTTATGACTTTCATACTGGAAACAGCATTACCATTTTGAGCCTTGCGTGTTGAGCCTTTGGGCCTTCCTCGCTTGCGCTTGAGAGGCTCTATACTCTGGTCCAGCATACCCCCAACCGCACGGTCAATTATGGGTGCTGCTCTTCGATTGGGTTTTGGCGAACTACTCGCAACAGGGACAGTGGGCTCAGCGCTTCGATTTCGACCCTGTGTTGATATAAGTGGCGATAGAGGTTCTCGTTCATCTATCTGGCGTTTTGGTGCTCTGATCCTTGAAAGAACAAGAGGAGCTTCATCGTCCGAAAGCTCCATGCTAGGAACGGTAGGTATATCAGAAGCATTGAGTCTGTCGTTGCCATCCGTGGGCTCCGGTGCTTCAGAGGCACTGCTGTTGAAAGGGGTCGCCGTGTCCTGTGAATCTGGTACAACCTGCCTTTGAGAGGTCGTCCCCCTTTCGGGTCCTTTTGTTCGCAGCGCATTGCCTTGAAACTCCACCGAAGACGAGACACACTCATCGCCAACATGGTTGACGCTTTCGAAGTCTTTGCGAACGACTGGATCAACTTTGTATAATTCCACCCTCAAACTCTGTCCTGATCTCTGCCATTCTCTGGCGTCGTCCCATGAGATCTTGCCCAAATACTCAGTTTGTTTCCTCGCTCGGCCAGACCGTCTCCGGCCAGAACCGTCTTCTTCGTCGTTCTGCTGGGGCACTTTCACAGCATTTCCATTTGTTTCTTTCAGTACCCCCTGTGGATGTCGATGAACCTCGCCCTTTGCAGGTGACGTTTCTTTTGTTGGGAGGACAAGACTCGCCTCAGGGGTCGACGCTACCTCAGTAGCCTCAGAGAACATCAAATCATCGTCATCGTCGGTATCATTTATAGTTCTATCGGGCGCTGGAACTTCCTGATTATCGGGTGGTTGTTTCTCAGACATGGATTTGTGATGGTCATCTGCATCCGCCTCTTCTTCCGTACGAGAGCTGTTAGGGTGTCTGTTCGTCGCCTGCTTGGAGGATGCTTTCATAGAGCCAGCCCGTTTTGTCTTCTTGGCCTGGTTGCGACTCCAAATCGATGTCTGTCCGTTATGAGTGGGGAAGACGTATCTGCCTCCGCTAAACCAAGGTCCTGGCATACTGGGCGGCATGTTGAAATATGGAGGAATATCGTCCCGATCCCAGGCTTGCATGGGAAACCCATGCATCATTCCCCAGGGCCCAAATCCTGGAGTTGGTCCGAATCCAACCGACGAACCTGGTCCATAGGGTGGAGGACCAAAGTGAGGTTCGCTGGGGGGCAACATGACGTTGGGAATTTGTGAGGGATCCATAGCCCTATCCATATCAGTTTGTGGTGCTTCCGGGGCGACTTTGCTGTGAGTCTTTTGGCTTGTTGGGGCGCCTTGTTCTGCAAATGTTGGTTTTTGGCTGTTCTGGTTGTCGTTTTGAGAATGTTGTACTCCTTTGACTGGTTCTTCGCTATCGGAATATCCATCCGTAAGGTCCTCCAGCAGAAGTCCTTCATCTTCATCGATATTACTATCGCCCTCCATCCATAGTCCTTCAACATCTCCCTCATCACGCATGTTGCGCAAATGACCGTTGTTAACCACAATTTCTCCAGTATTCATGTCGATTTCGTCGCCGATGCCCTCAAAGTCCCGGCTGTATTTTTCGATAATATGAGCCATTGTAGCTTGCAGTTTATGGTCAGCATTTGCCCGTTTGAGTGCAAGCTGAATATCAGGGTCTCGGCGCATCCTGATCTCTTGAGGATGTGAGGCAAGTTCGTCATCGTCGCTTTCACCTCGAACCTCTTTTTGAGCTGAAGAGCCCCGTCGCCTTTTCTTTGTTGGTGGTTCCATTGTCGCTATGATCGAGATAGCAAGCCTAGGAGTATTTTTGTCCGCATTAAATCATGCTTCATTTTGTGACATGTTCTTTGACAGGATGCATTGTAGCCTTCCATTGGATGGCTCCTGCATTCTTTGATGACGATGTTTCGTTGGAGGAGCAACTGAAGGGTCTAGACGCGCCGTGACGCGTTATCAGGGGCCGTGCGTCGCGTAAAGTGCTTGGCTCCATGTGGATCTTATCGATTAATTTGGCGGGGTTAACTAACTACATGCTTCAGGAGATGACTGGATATCAAGTGGACGCTATCGACCTTTCATAGCTTCATGTGACCTTATGAAAGAATATGAGTGCCATGCTTAGTTGTAGCAGTGCTTCCTTTGGAATTAGTTTCTTTTGTTTTGCTTGTAGTATAATGAAGTATATGACTTATTCTAGGTTCCGCTATTTGATTCCCTGAACCCTGTGATCAACTGCGCATTGCGCATTGGCTCATGGCTGTCAGTGCTAAACATAACCCGACGTCACCGCTAAGACATCCATCCACACCTCACTCTGTCCATTTCTTTACTTTCCCTGACTTTCCCACCAACCACCCAGTACACTTTCATCTTAAAAGTCTGTACAGCGCATTCATCCAGCAACCGTCCTCGAACAATGCCTGCTCGCTAAGCCAAGTATGAACTGCCAGAAATGCCGCCAGCCTCTCAGGCTGGACGCTTCCCTTGAGGACCTCAATCCAGCTGCCTACGATGTGCTTGTTTGTATGTGGTCTGATTCTTCTTTTGCGCATCGTCTCTGACCTCGCTCGCCAGCATCTACATCTCCCCAGACCCTCAAGAAATCATCTGTTACGAGCCCACCGATTAGGCAACCCCAAGAGCAAGCGCGCAAGTCTCTATACGAAACAGTCTCACGAAATACCGGGCCACCAACGTTCAAGCGCAACCATGGAGGGCATCCCCGCGATTCCTCTATGTCTTTCGTGTTATTATCAGAGTCACAGATGACTCACCCGAATCAGCCTCCAGAGTCTCTCGCTATGCCAACGGCACTGCGCCGTGCCAGCTCCAGCAGAAGTAATGGGGATAACGTTGATGCGCCTGTGGGAAACGAGATGGATAGGGTCAACCGACTTTTTGAAATTCTATCTGCACGGTCCGACATCGACCACCCTATCTGTGTTGAATGTACAGAAATGCTTATTGAGGGCCTACAGAAGAAGCTAGAGGTTGCTTCACGCGAAAGGGACGCCTATGTTAAACATCTTAAGGAGGCGAAAGCAAACAAGCCAAGCGAAGAAGACATGAAAGCTCAAGAGGAAGCGCTGCGAAAAGCCGAGCAGGATAGAGCAGCAGCTATGGAAGAGCTGAAGAAACTGGAGTCGGAAAAGACTTCGTTAGATGAGGAGCTCGTAGCTCTTGAGGAGGAGTCGCGACAACTCGACAATGAGGAAGAGAAGTTCTGGAGGGAACGAAACGAGTTTGCTACCAAGATGGGTGAATTCCAGGCGGAAAAGGACAGCATCAACGCCAAGTACAGCAACGACTCCCAGCTCCTGGAAAAGCTGCAGCGATCTAACGTATACAATGACACCTTTTGTATCAGCCACGATGGGAGCTTTGCAACAATCAACGGTCTTCGGCTTGGTCGTCTATCCAACAAACCGGTAGATTGGCCAGAAATCAACGCTGCATGGGGACACGCACTGTTACTCTTGGTTACCGTTGCGGACAAACTTTCGTACAGATTCGATGGATATGACCCGCAGCCCATGGGAAGCACCTCAAGAATCATCCGATACGAAGTACCAAGCCCTTCTTCCAGCCGGTTAGGCAGCCGCGCTGTCAATGCTCCCCCCAAAAAACATATACTGGAGTTGTACAGCTCTGGAGATATGCCTCTAGGATTAACCTTCATGCACCGACGTTTTGATAATGCCATGGTTGGGTTCCTGGAGCTTGTGCGACAACTGGGCGCGTATGTGCATAGGCAAACAGATGCAACTGGCACACCTCTTAGCTTGCCATATAAGATTGACGGTGACAAGATTGGCGATGTCAGCATCAAACTCGGCATTGCGCAAGATGATGGATGGACGAAGGCGTGCAAGCTGACATTGACGTGTTGTAAGTTTCTACTTGCACACGCCAGTAACGTCACTTCCAACGCAAGAAATGGTGGGAACTGAACAACTCCGTTGCTAGTTGATGAACAGCACTTGGGGTTTCTCTGCTTTGGGTTCGCTTGTGTCTCCCTTAGGTGTTAAAAGTGGCGTAGTTTGGACAAACTGGATGGCGTTATAGGATGGAAATTGAGCATAGAGGCTACTTCTCTTCTGTCGTATAGAATCATTTGGCATCATAAATAGCAATGAGATGACAATATTTTCGTGTCTGTCTCTTTTCTAATTACACATAATTTCCGATTGTGTTTTCCGGCCCGTATCATGCGAGAGTGGTGCCTTCTAGCCATCCATTGTTAGCATGCCATCTTTCTGTATGGAGGTTCACTTTTCGCTCTGTGCATACCTAGGAAGGCCGATGCCTTCGCAGTTGCGCCTGTTCAATACCTAACAAACAGGCCAAGCTGAAACCCGAGCTCGAGCATCTACTTATTCTTCGTGATTCACGGTCTCGCTGCACTTCTCCTTTTAAACCCCCACATCCACAACAACCCCCATTCCCAGCTTCTTCTATCTGAAGCATCCTCCCTCGAGCACTCAAAATGGGGAGTTGTGCTAACTGTGGCAAGGATGCAACCGTGGGGTGCCCCCATTGCATGGGAGCTCCTGAATACCGAGACGGAGACGATGTCACTTCCTTCTGGTGCAGCCCTGAATGCAAGGCAGCTCACGAGCCAACTCATCAAGAGTATTGCTACAACAAGCAACGGCGCAAAACTCTTTTACGTACAGCCAAGCTACTCAAAGCAGCACTTTTGTCGTACAAAGAGGTAGTGTATGACATTCATGTGACAAAAATCGAACATGACGAAGATAACGGAACTCTGGTCCTCACACATACCCCGAACCGCATTGAGCGCCATCCTTTCCCCAGTCACCTCACACGCATTGAAAATCACAAAGAAGCTGCTCTTTTGGTAAATCAGTGTACTATGTCGATTTCTCTCCTTGGTCCGATGGCCAGAAATCTGTTGGCCGGTAGGTCAAGCCGTAGATTCTGTATCTCAGGAGTGTTCTGCTAACAGCTATTGATCAGGAATTGTCTCTCGAATGGATGTCGCCGTTGTTGAAATTCAGAATCCCCCTTTCCCCGTCAGACTTCACCCTCCCGATAGCGCCGTAAGCGACAGAGTGTTCCATACCATTGTCGAAGCGACGTTGGACTCATCAGGGGAACGATGGTTGATCGACATCACAGGCTGTCAGTATGGTTTCCGAGATATTCTGCTTCCCCTCGAGAAGTACATGACACAGAACAACTGCTCCTCCTATGAGTTGTTACAGCCTTACGGTCACACCGAAACCACCGACCAGGACGAGCTTCCGCGCTCGCCTTTCTTCATACTCACAGGAGGGCCCAATGAACGACAGTTGGCAGACATTGAAATTGAGAAAGGTTATCGTCGACACTTCGCCACTCTGGTTCGCGCATTATTTTATCAAGTATTGACTCAGGGCTCTGATGCTCACTTTGCAGCCGTTCTCGATAATTTGGCCCACAAAGTGATTACACATATGTCAAGTTATCGACCTCAGATGGGGGCATATCGAGAGAGGACTACACACTAGGAGCTCTCTGCACTTGTATCTTCAATACTTCTATTGAGTTTGACAACTTCGGGTTTGCTTTCTCGGGTTCAGATGGGTCGGCGGTAACACGCAGGGCTAGTTCCGATGATTGGCTGCATAAGGTAGCCCAAGGCTTACCACGGGGCATTTTAGATGGCAGTGCAACCCTGTGGAAGTCAGCCTACTTCTGCAGGTAGTCGAAAATTGAAAGTTGATTCCCTTTCCCAAAAGCGAACAAACTTTGCTTATTTCAGAAACAACATTTTCCAGTATTTATTTGGACAGTGAATGAAATGTCAGGTGGAGCAATGATCTGGGTGCTTACCATTAATCACGATAACTTCACATTATCCCCACACACATCAAAAGACAGATCCACTTTTGACTGTCAGCAATGCCTCTTAAGGCTGCATAGGGCTGTGCTGCAGCTGGCACACCCAATATCTCCACATCACTCCGTATGCTACCCAAGAACTGTGTTACACTTGCTCAAGGCAAACACCATGGGGCTTGAAACTAGGCGTTGCTGCCTTGACTGGTACCATAGCTAATGATAGAGGAACTCCTTGATTGGGTAGACTGTCTCTCAATATCATGATAGGCCAGTCTCAGCTTACACAGCTTTGCCAATTGCTCTATAAAGCAAACAAAATGCTCACAGGTTCTTCCCTGGCCAGCTCATTCTCTAACCTTCTTGATCCATCTGTCTTTCATCTTCTGTGTCTGCCGTATCTCCCAATAAGCTTGTTTGTTCTTCAGAATCATCATGGATACTCCTCAGCCTCATGAAGTCCATGTCGTCGATGGCGATGACACCAGCTCCATCGTGAGCTTCGAGGACATCCCCCCCAGGTCCAGGCCAAGATATAGACATGGTCTGCACATGGACTCCATGCCTAGGGTGTGCCCAAAACCAGAAATCCTCAAGATCGATGGCAAAGTGCCAGACGTCCTTCATGTGGTCAAGTATCTCGGTTGGCAAAACAATGTCATAGAATGTCAGTCTTCAGCCATGTATCTTCTATAATGGGATTGAGCTGACCGTATAACAGGCCGTCAGAGTCCCGTAGCTTTCAAGAACGTCCCCCCGTACGGCTTCAATGGCGATATCAACCTCGTTGTCGATGAAGATGCAACGGGAGATGAGAAACCCGTTATCGAGATCATAACGAAGGTCTTACCCCGGAGCCGATCCCCCATCCCGATGCACCGTCGATCTCGGGGTCCTCGAGACCAGGAAGACAGGCCAATCACCGAAGCATTCGAGAACATTGATTATCGTTACGACAATCTCTACCCAGATGAAGGTCAAGAGCCCGAAGTTCCTGGTCCAGAAATTTCACGTCCCTTCATGATCATTCATTCAGATCACCTCATCAATGCCCTTAAGGCTGTAGTGGCCTACTATCCTTACATCAGCTTCGACGCCAAGCCTGTCAAGATCAATGCCCCTTACCGGGTCCTCTACCATCATCGACAGGAGCTCGCCCATTACAAGGATCACCAACCATTGGCCCATGAATCTGAGTACGCCGCGACTACATCTAAGCATATCGATGTTCTCCTCAAGTTCCTTGACGACAACCTCGGCGATGAGATCCGCCGTGAAGAGGAGCGTCACCAACTTGCTACCCCTCGGGCCACCTTTGACCTCTTTTGGCTTCTGCTCAAGCCAGGTGAAGTCTTCTACGCAAAGCGCTATGATATCTGGACCCCATATGTCATTAGCAGCGTCACAATGGGGCAGGGACACAACAATTCCTGGGATGTGTACAACATCAATTGCTGGATGCTCGAGTCAAATGGCACAAAAGTCAACCGCTTCATGTTCAGCTACAACCTCTCTCCCTGGCTTGGCGAACAAGCCATCGGGAGCCTTTCCATCATTCCCGCAGCTTTTTGGCCTGAAGACCTTGAAGTCCAAGGTGGAATGACAATGAGAGAAAAGAACATTGCCCTCGGCAAGCTCTATTGGGAGCTTTTGAAGCGACCAACCTACATGGAATACGAGGGGCTTCTTGTGAATTCTGGGCCGAGCAACAGACAATGCCGTGGACCAACCGGCTTCATGTGCGGCCGTGTCATCTGCGATGCTCCTGGGTTTGATACATTTTATAATCAAGGACCCGATAACATGCGTGGGGGTCGCTACCATCGCATTCCAGTTTACAATGAAACCGCGCCTCCTTCTAAGGACCATCTTCCAAAGGATCTCCCGCGATGTGGGTGCGATGCCTGTATGGAAAACCGCCCAAGCCATAGTACCGAAAGTCCGTATCATGGCTTCGAAGACCTTGATCCTACGGAAGACTCTCCCCCTGATAATGACCTCTTCTATCTTGTGTGCAGCAAGACTATGCCAGGATTTCTTCTTGGCGATCGACGATGGGGTCACTTGAATATCGCCAACCTGAAGCAGCTGAAGACGGACAAGGAAGCTTTCAAGTATCTTGTTCTTGACGATGAGATCAAGATGACTGTCAAGGCCTTGATTGGAAAGTTTGCTGCCGACTTGGGAGACGGCAAGTTGTCGCCTTGGGGTAACGACTTTGTCAAGAACAAAGGCGAAGGTCGAATCTTCCTGCTCCATGGTGCACCTGGCGTTGGAAAGACATGCACCGCTGAATGCGTCGCCGAGCTAACCAATCGACCTCTTATTTCACTGACCAGTGGTGATCTCAGCGTTGACTCGTTCAACGTCGAGGCCAACCTGAGCTACTTCCTTGAGCTTGGCCAACGCTACGGTGCTCTTGTCCTCCTCGATGAAGCGGATATCTACCTCGAGCGTCGTCGCTCCAAGGATATTACCCGGAACGGCCTTGTATCTGTGTTTCTTCGGGCCCTCGAGTACTATCGTGGAGTTCTCTTCCTGACCACCAACCGGGTTCAGTCATTTGATACTGCATTCCTCAGTCGTATTCACGTCGCATTGCATTACAAGAGTCTTACTCACGAGGACTGTGAGCGCATCTGGACTCATAACTTTGACCGTCTGAGCCGAGATTCAAACGGTTTGATCCATGTTTCTGGTGCAGCTCGCGAGTTTGTCTGGAACAGTCGGGATGTTCGTAGTCTCAAGTGGAATGGGCGTGAGATTCGCAACGCCATGCAAACAGCCCTCGCTCTAGCTGAGAACGAGGCTCATGAAGAGAATTCCGAGCGGGTTACAATCAGCGAGAAGCATCTCAGAGCTGTTGTGAAGATGAGCCGTGGATTCCGCGACTATATCAAAACTGCAGTTCCCCTTGAGGGATTTGAGAAGACTCTCGACGATTCCGATGAGGAGTGAGACTAAGAGACTGATATCCTCTCTTTTGTTATGAGTGTGATTGCGATTTTGACTGTTTGTATTGAAGGATATCTTTGCAGTGAAAGAAATCGACTTGTGAAGACAACGTGGAACCTCGATCCTTAGTAACAAAATACTTAGGCAGGTTCAGGATCATTTTAGGAGTCTCTTTGCTTAGTACCTTAGCCATTAACGATTTATGACCATCAGATTGAATACAAATGAACTTCATGATTTGCATACAGTTTTGTGACAATAGTGAGACACTACTGGTGAAATACAAACGGTACCGAATGTCTCCAGTAGCTCTACCTCAGCATACTAAACTTACCGATAGTTTACAACCTTTAGTTAATACAACACTGATGGTTTGTAAAATTAACAGGGGGAAAATCATATGAACTTAGGAATATTAGAAACGAATTAAATTATTACTTATAAACTAAGGTGGTGCACTGTCATTCATACTTGGTGATACATATGTCTCAGAAATTCGGCCATCTGTCCAACGTCAACAGCATCCACTGCCCAACGCTCCAGTGTTTGTATTGCAAGTTCAATGAGCATCTGCCACTGATCAGGAGGATGAATCCGGTGTGGATTAGAGGCAGCAGCAAGAATGATACATGCGCTTAGGAAGGTCTTGCGAGATATTAACCATGTGCCGCCATGACGCCCTTGGAAAGCGAGACGATGAACCATCTTGGAGCAAATATCGAGTTCCTTCAGCGCAAGGGCATGCGCCTGAGGAAACACAGGATCATCTTGAGGACAGTGCAGTACGTAATAAAAGATAGGGCGAAGCGTATACTCTTGCCAAAGGAATGCCCTGCCTTGAAGAGCAGAGGCGAATTCCTCTTCTGGGAGTTCGTCGTTTTCAAACTGGACTGCAACAGGAAGATGGTAATGCCTGAGAACTCGATGCGTCAGTCTTCAGGTAATGCTAAGATAAATAAAAACTCACCACTGCGATATCTGTTGCTCAGTTTCATGGTACTGACGAATCAAGTACGTTGGATGCTTCATCCAATACTCTTCCCCATTTCTGTACAAAAGGTTCAGGGTCTCGTCCACTGTGCGCCGGATGGAAATTTCGGACAGGTAGTAGTACCACCCTCGCTCGTCAACATAGCGTTGCTCTTCATCATGATCGATATGCGAGCCTTCACTTCTTGGAGTCTGCCCAGTTCCAGTTAATAGGCCTTCCGGGGGTGTTGGAAGCGGCTCTGGGTATGAGAAGCTCTCGAGGGCACTTGGTCGTAATCCTAGCTCAAAAACAAGTTCACTGCAAACGAATTAACACTCAACTACCAAATACATTGGTGGTCATCACTGACCTTTCTGCTCGAAAGCAGGTCCAGAAGAGTCTCTGCTCCAAATGGTAGTCTGCTGGATTGCTTTGCCGAAAAGGTACTCGAGGTCTTTCACCACGCTGGCGCAGATGAGTCTCCAGACGAGAACATGCTTGTTGAACGTAGTACCACGCCCTCAACGGGCGAAAGGCAAATTTCTCGAATATGGTCGCCAAGACAAAACACTGAATATCTTCAATAGAATTTCCAAGAAGACCCATCCTCTTTTGCGCTGCTGCATAGTACGGTTCAGCCCTGGGACCCTGCTCGGGGTCGTCTCTTTGTCGAAGCTGCTCCTGAGTTGGTGGAACAGGATACTCATTTGGTTTTATCCAAAAACCAGTATATTCAGCCAGAGCACACGACAAAAGCTAGAATTGTTAGGCTGATAGGATATGAAGGAGAATGGCGGGCTTACAACGAGGCAGGATGAGGTGTCCCATTTCAGACCGTTTTCTTCTGTGGTACGAGCATGCCTTATGAGTTGCTGTCCGTCCAGAACTGGA